GGACACTGTCTGGGTTCTGCTCAGTGTCCACTTCCATTTCACAAAGCCCAGCTGAACCAGTCTGACACTTAGCATGTAACGTTTCACCACCTGACCCATTTGAGTTTTGTTCCAAGGATAAGACACTGGTAGATTCCTTGGGAGCAGCAAGCGTAGCTAGACTCTTGCCAGCTTCCTCTGTTCCCACTTTCTTGAGAGGGGCTATTTTATTTCCTTCCCCATCAGAGCCAATTTCTTGGTCCTTGGGTGTCTCGTCTCTTCTTGAGTTTCCCTTTGGCGATGCTGATGATGGGGCTGGAAGATCCTGTGCGCGCCTGCTTCCCTTCAGAAGCTGGCTATCTCTAACAGGCACTAAGCCAACTTCAATAAGGACTTGCTCCTGCCGCACCACCTCACTCCGCATGCCCGACTTCTCCTTGGTACTCTCTTTTCGGGGAGAAGACCTTTTGGTGACTGGTTTCACTTGAAGAGGTGGCTCCATGACAGCAGGAGGCTCCTTCTGAACAGATCCCATGTTAGGAGGCCCTGTCTGAGCAACCTCCACCTGAGCATGGTCCAAAGGACAAAGCAGCTTCTTCTGACAATGTCCCCGCTGAGACTCCATGGGAGGAGGAGGCTCCATCTGAGCAGGCTGCTCCATCTGATCAGGCTCCATGGGAGGAGGCTGCTCCATCTGATCAGGCTCCATGGGAGGAGGCTGTTCCATCTGAGCAGGCTCCATGGGAAGAGGCTGCTCCATCTTTGGAGGCTCCATGGGAGGAGGAGGCTCCCTCTGAGCAGGCTCCATGGGAGGAGGAGGCTCCCTCTGAGGAAGCTCCAGGGGAGAAGGCAGCTCCCTCTGAGCAGGCTCCAGGGGAGGAGGTGGCTCCCTCTGAGCAGGCTCCAGGGGAGGAGTCTGCTCCATCTGATCAGGTCCTGTCTGAGCAATATCCATGGGAGAAGGAAGCCCGGGCTGAGTAGAGCCTATAGGGGTGACCACCACCTGAGTGAGCGCAGGACCAGAAGAGACCTCCTCCTGAGCCAGCTCCATGGGAGGAGGCTCTGCCGGAGCCATCTCCTTCTGCGTCTCCTGAGAAGGTCTGCTGCCTTTCTTACTTGATTTACCTTTTTGAGTTTTCTTCTTTGCACCTTTTTTAATGGAAGTATTTTGCTTTTTATTGTCCCCCTTAGTCTCCTCCGTCTTGCGGTCATCCTTTGGCACCTCAGTACTATTTTTGGATTTGCTTTCCATCTTTTTTTTCTTTTTTGTCACTGGTTCCTCGTTCACAGGCTCATCTGACGGATGGGCTTCAGCATCCATCTTTCTTTTGTTCTTCTTGGCTTTACTGACTTTTTCTTTATTATTTCCTGTATGTGCATCTATGTGTTTCGTCTCTGCTGCCTTAGTCTCCGTCGCGGATTTCCGAGTTCTGGTAGTTACCTGGACCACTGAGGCATTGCCACAAGACTTCTTCTCTCTTGGAACATCCTTTTTCTCTCCTTTCGCGGGTTTCTCGTTTTTCTTGGCCGGCACCTCTCCCTTTGTTTTTGTTGGCTCTGTCTCTGTCTTGTCACTGGTGGGGTGACTATGCATGTCGGCCTCTCTCTTCTTGATTTTCTTTAGTTTCACTTTGGAGACATCCATCGTCTTACTAGGGCAGGTAGGATGCTTCGACTTGAAATGGTACTGTAGGTTGCACTTCTTGGAGGCGGCGTAGTCGCACACAGGGCAGTTGAACTGCCGCGGGTTAACGTGCAGCTCCACGTGTTTTTTGAAGTTGCTTCTGTCTGCCGTTTTGTAGTCACAGTGAGGGCAATTAAGAGGCTTGGGCCCGTTGTGAACCTGCCTTGCGTGTCGGGTCACTTCGTGCTGATTTGAAGCCACATAACTGCACTGATCACATTTAAATGGCTTCTCACCTAAAGGTAAAGAGGAGATGTTACCAGAAATAGAAGACACAAATCCAACATTAAAATATCCTTAGCATGTATATGTAAAATAACCACGAAAACCATTTACTGGAAAGACTTGATTGATCATGCACCTTACATTTTCCATATTTATTTGTATAACTTTTCTCTATCTGGGATGGAGGCTTGATTCTCAAAGTACATCGGAGGAATAATCAACTGAGTCAACCATTATGCTCAAAACAGTTTATGTTAGCTCTTCGGCACTATTAAAGAACAGGCTCCGCCCGGAAGCACAGACCTGCTGGCACAGGCCGAGAGCCTCTGGATGCCAGTCTGGGACAAAGCCACTCCAAGAGAAAAATGGTTTTAATTTTCTGCTCCTCACCCCCCAAAATTCTTTTAAACTAAAATATACTGTAACCCAGTATAAAACACATGCATCTGTAAGGTTAGGTCTGGAGCAGAATCTCTCAGTTTGAGCTACAGCCCCAGATTTTTCTGCCTCCAGTTGAAGGCTCTGCTTTAGCCTGGGGGAGTATATTAACCCTTTACTCATGACTGCAAGAGGTGAGTAAAGCTACACTCAGAGTCTGTATAATACCAGAGTGTTATACTGTTTTAAAGCAAAAATAATAAGGCTGAAGCCAACTCGAAAACTTCCAGTGACTTTTTTCTATCTCAACTTTTCTATAAAAGGGGCAAAGAAACTAACTAAATGAGGCTGGTATACAAATAGATATGGTATAGAACACAGACAGTCATAATCACAGAGCCCACCCACCCCAAAATTAAAAGCAAAAAACATTCTACCTGAATACATACCCAACTAGATCACATTCTAGTAAATATTACCAATTGGTATCCATACCCCACCGGTCCAATGGAATGCATAGTAGAGAAATGGAAATTGACATTTATGAAAATTAATCTTTCAAACATCCACATTCATTATTATCTAAGTTTTCCATAAGCAAAATTAGAGGTGAAGCTTAACTATGACAATATTAAAGATTACATCATTAGAAATGTCTGTTGACAGAATCCTAAATCTTCCCCAAATCCTACCCAGGTATATCAAATCAAATATGTAGGTAATAAATGGTAACTTTTTCAATGTTAAAATTCAAGAGTTTCAGCCAGGCTTAGTAGTGATACCTGTAATCCCTGCTACTCAAGAGGCCACGGCAAGAGGACCCCATATTTGAGGCCAATACAGGGAATTTAGCAAGAGCCTATCTCAAAACGTGGAAAAAAATTCAAGTCTAAGAATGTAAGTCAATGGGAATGGACTTGCCTGGTAAGCAAGGGCCTGGGCTTGACCCAGGCTGCAGAAGGTTGGGGGGGGGGCAGTCTCTACAGCACATACATCCCTCTACCCTTGGCCCTACTGTCAGCATTAGCAACACTCAAGGTCAAGGCGACCTGCAGCCAATTAAAGAGAGGCCAGCCTGAGCTACATGAGACCCTGTCCCCAAACAAAAGACCAAGCCCTAGATTCAACTGCACATAAAACCTGGCGTAGTGGCACACACCCTCTAATCCCAACACTCTTGAATAACCTAGTTCTCAAAGGGGGGGGGGGCTGGAGAGATGGCTCAGAGGTTAAGAGCACTGACTGCTCTTCCAGAGGTCCTGAGTTCAATTCCCAGCAACCACACAGTGGCTCCCAACCATCTGTAATGAGATCTGGTGCCCTCTTCTGACCTGCAGTCATACATGCTGTATACATAATAAATAAATAAATAAATCTTTATTAAAAGAGAGAAAAGAAAAAGAGCGCGCGAGAGCAAGAGCAAGATGGCCCCTCGGTTAAGGTACTTCTTACCAAGCCTAAGAAGCTTGGTGAAAAGACCCCCATGGGAAGAAAGCAGAGAAGCAACTCTCACAAGCTGTCCTGGTGTGGTCTCTACACACACCCATGAACATGTCCACACATACAAATTAACTTATTAATTAATCAGTGCGATCTTAAAAATTGGTACTGTAGTTCCTGGATGGCCAGGACTACACAAAGAAATGCTGTCTCAAAAAACAACAACAAAACAAAATTTGGTGCTGTAAGCGTGATCAGGAGCGGTATTGGGGGGAGGGGGCCAGAGGCCCTAGGTGTGAACTCACTACTGTTTCACAACAGACATGTCATCAGATTGCTTTCTAAACATTCCTGTCTATCTACAGCCATGGTCAGAGAAGACTCTTCCTGCTACGTCAGGAGGTAGGTTCAGAGACTTGGAGCAGGCCCAAGTGAGGGTGGAATGCTTGGCCCTAAATAAGACATCTGTGTTTCCCTATCCAAAGTCAGGGAGTATCACAGAACAGGGGAAAGACAGGATCCAAGCGCCAGATGGGGGTGTACAGCAGAAACAGCTGGGCACAGCAGGACAATTCTATTCACGAACTCATTTTGGCTGTGACTCCCTGCACATCTAAGATGGAACTCAACACCCCAGATGGATGGAGGAGGTGCACAAGGCCCCACCCTTTCCTGAACAGTTAAAAGGCAGTTAATGGGCTGCTCAGGGTGGGAAGGCCCCAGTAGTACAGCCAAGCTAAGGTGCCCTTACTCAAGTAAATAACTTCCTACCCGTGCGTATGAAAGCAATCCTAATGAACACAACGGGCCGAGGAAGGAGGGGCTCGGAAGGAGGGGACCTGAAGAGAGGGATAAGAAGATGGGGAGCTGTGCCTGAGACAGAGCTTAAGGACCCACATGGTCAAAGGACCAACTCCTGTAAGGTGTCCTCCGACCTTCACAGGCATGACCGATACAGCATACGTACCCCACACACGTGCACACTTGCACACACACAAAAAAAAGTCCAGCTCCCATCCAGGCCATCAGGCTGTGTAGCAGGAGCCTTTAATAGCTGAGCCATCTCTGATAGGGTCTCATCTATCTCAGGCTGGCCCTGAACTCACTATATAGGGACAGATCAATGTAGATGAAAAAAAAAAAGGGACTTGAATGACAGGAAAAATGTAGGCAGTCTCACCCTCCTCCCCAGCAAAACATAAAGGGTTACCTATATAAGTTCCCAAAGTGCCACAATGTATGTTTTTGATTCTCAGTCAGAATTGGGGGAAAAAAAAAAAACAAGCTGGGCGGTGGTGGCGCTCGCCTTTTTGTCCCAGCACGTGGGAGGCACAGGCAGATCTCTGCGAAGTTCTAGGTCAGCCTGGTCTATAGAGAGCTAGTACCAGGACTGCTAGAGCTACACAGAGAAACCGTCTGGAGGGGAAAAAAAGGAAAAAAAGAATATACTTAAAAAAAAAAAAGAGGGCCGGGCGTGGTGGCGCACGCCTTTAATCCCAGCACTCGGGAGGCAGAGCCAGGCGGATCTCTGTGAGTTCGAGGCCAGCCTGGGCTACCAAGTGAGCACCAGGAAAGGCGCAAAGCTACACAAAGAAACCCTGTCTCGAAAAAACCAAAAAAAAAAAAGAAAAAGCTGTGTTATTGTGTGCGAGTTATGTAGGTATGATAATGATGTACGTGTTGGGAGCAGTGGTGCATACAGTCTACAGAATCAGACTTCCAGGACATCACTGTTACCTGAGCACCTCACACCCCACTCCTGTATTTTGAGACAGGTTCTTACATTACCCAGGCTGGCCTCAAGCTCACTGTGCAGCTGAAAATGGCCTCGAACTTCCAACCCTCCGGCTTCCACTTCCCAGCACCGGGACTGCACATATGTATCACAGTGCTGTTCTAGGAAGAGCTGAGGATCAAAGGACCCACACGGACACCTGAGCACTCCACCAGTTGAGCAAATCCAAAGTCCCATCAACTATCATTTTCTTTTCTTTTCTTCCAAGCCCCCTCCCGGTCCAGAGCTGAGGACTGAACCCAAACCCAGGGCCTTGTGCTTAAGCGCTCTACCACTGAGCGAAATCCCCAACCCCGACCATAATTTTCTTTAGCTATGGTTGACAAAGTAAGAGGTTGGGAATTAAATCCTAACTTCTCATTGTGAGAGACTCTCGGCCTTTTTTATCCTCCCTAAGCACATGCCCTCATCTGTAATCTATCTTCACATTAACAAGATTATAATTGCAGTACCCTGTTTGCATATAATGACCAATAGGTATTAGAAATACTTACCACAGTATAATTACTGATAACTATAAAACCTTTGAAACACAGCCAGCAAAACTCCAGACATTTAACAAACCCAAATAAAAGGCAAAGATTATCAACTAGGGTAGACACCACAGAAAACATTGAACATTCCCAGTCACATATATATATGAAAGGAATCCTTCTAAAGCAGTGATCCATCACCATAAATAATGGGTCAACTACATATGACTTCAAATCAGCTACATCACAGGGTAAATATCAAGCATTTAGATTTAATTTCTTCTAGTTGACCGGTAATAAAAGGGACATAAAAAAAATCTAAATGACATGAAAGCAAGCAGACATCCAGAAAAGGAGACACACTGCAGAGGAAAATAACTGTATGTTTTCAACGCTTAGAACTTACTATACATTTCAATTAAAAGACAAAAAACAAAAATCAGAAAGAAAAAAAAAAAGTTAACTTACAATGCTCTTATTTTTTCCTTATCCAGTGCTTGAGATTGATTCTAGGTCTTGAACGTGATGCAAAACCACATTACTCTGAGCTACATTCTCAACCCTTCTATTGTGGTTACTGTGTTTTGAGACCAAGCTGGCCTACACGAGTTCCTACCAGCCTCAGCCTCCCAAGTGCTGGGATTAAAGCCTCTCCTCAAAGTTTTATTAAAGAACTAAGTAAAGCCCTCTGCAGAATATTAATCCCCTCCCCCCCCCCCCCCACCCCCATCCCTCCCCACCCCCCGTCACCAAAACCCAACACCTTTGGAGAACCAATCAGGAAGTACCCAATAGTAACATTTTGAGGTTCTGGTGTTTTTATTGTTGTTTTCCTGAGAGGGTTTCACTGTGTAGCCTTGGCTGTCCTAGAACTCACTATGTAGACCAAGCTGGCCTCAAACTCAGAAATCCATCTGCCTCTGCCTCCTGAGTGCTGGGTGGGATTAAAGGCTGAGCCGCCACCACCACCACGTTTTTATTTAAGTAGCCCAATGTAACAGCACAGGAGGACACTCAAAGGACATCGACACAACAAGCACGTAGGATCAAGAGAGCCTGGCGAGGCCGGGGGTGGTAGAGCAGGCTTTAGTCCTAGCTCTTGGGAAGCAGAGCAGGAACCATGCTAGCACAGTGAGTGAGCTCCAGGCCAGCCAAAGGAGGAAGCCTGACAAGAAAATACCGAGAGAGCCTGGCCGTGAAGCTCACTTGTTAAGCTAAAGCTTGGCAGAGGCCAGCACTTTAAATCCACATGAGCCAAGTCAGAATCTATACTACAACAAAGTTTATGTAAGACCTAACTCAGTAATGCCACTACGTTTTCTAAGTCACATTACTAAGATAAAACATGAGTAAGATCTGGGCTGGAGGCTGTATCAGAGTGCAGAGTTCCGATCCTGGCACACATATCGAGTAGCTCATGAGCACCTGTACACTCCAGCTCCAAGGGATCCAGCACCCACTTCCAGCCTCTGTGGGCATCCACATATAATCACAAATACACACTAATAAAAGTAATAAACGAAAGCAGGTTAAATCTGAGAGAAAGAAAGAATAAAAAGATGAGTGAGAGGGGATATAGACGATCCAGGAGGCGTCGGAGGGAGAGGAAAACAGTGATCAATTATACTCTATGACAAAAACCAGGGGTCACATCAAAATGACTTGCTTGTTAACTGGGGTTAACCTCCTGCCTCATTGCAAACTACAGTATATGCCACCAGGCCCAGCTCTGTAATAGTCTGTGGGGTTTTGTTTTTGTTTTTTTGAGGCAGGGTGTTCCTGTGGAACCCTGGCTGGTCTGGGACTTGCTATGTAGGTCTGATAATCATTTTCTCTCACAGGTAGAATCAAAAAAATGGGATAAACTCACCTGTGGTCTGTGCATAACTTAACTGGAGTATTAGAACTGTTCTGAGTTCTAACAAATACTAAGAGCCCTCATCTTAGGCTGGAGAGATGGCTTAGCAGTTGAGAGCAATTTCTGCCCATGCAGAGGACCCAAGTTTAGTTCCCAGCACCCATATGTAACTCCTAACCATCTGTAACTCCAGTTCCAGAGGCCCTGACACCCTCTTTTGGCCTGCTCAGGAACTGCACCCACATAGTGCACTTTCAAACAAAATACTCATATACTATTAATACAACTTCAGAAAGAAAAACGAAGGAAATCCTTCCAGAAAAGCATTTACAAACTAATTCACATCTATGCAGTTTCTGGAGTCTGATCTAGAAAGCCCATATTTACCCCCCCCCCCATTTTGGTTCTGCTTTTTCAAGGCAGAGACCTGCCTGGCACAGACAGTGGTGCATGCTCTGAATCCTAACACTCCTGGGGCAGAGGCAGGGAGGGCTCTCTGAGTTCCATAGTAAGAGCTCTAAGAGTTCCATACTGTTCTGAGTAGCTACATAGTAAGATCATGTCTAAGAAAAAAAATTGTTTAAAGACCCCCAAAAACATTAAGTTATAAACAACTCAGTTTCAGTTCTAAAAGAAATTCTTTATAAAGAAGTTTACAACAGTCAAATAAATAAAAATGATAGTTTACTGAAATGGTGGAAGTTACCATTTCTTACCAACCTGAATGAGTACGCATGTGTCGAGTTAGATGAGTCTTCTGGGAACTCGAGTAAGGACAAAGTTCACATTTATAAGGGCGTTCTCCTGCAAAATTATAACGATCGTGTTTAATATGCAACAGTAAACCAAAAACAACTCTAAGAACTGTAACTATTCCCTCCCATATATTTTTGGGTATTTCAAGTTTTTTGGGTTGGTGTGGCTGGGTTTTGTTTATTTTGGATTTTGAAATAGATTCTCCTAAGTAGTCCCGGCTAGCCCAGACACTCAATTCCCCTGCCCTTGCCTGAGTAGTCCAGGCTAGCCCAAACACTCAATGTCCCTGCCCTTGCCTGAGTAGTCCAGGCTAGCCCAAACACTCAATGTCCCTGCCCTTGCCTGAGTAGTCCAGGCTAGTCAAACACTCACTCTTCCTGCCCTTGCTTAAGTATGGGTTTATACAACCATGCCAAGAAAGAACTTGTCTCCAGCCATTTTTCCATTTTTGATTTTGAGACAGGGTCTAAAGAGTGCACTTGTGATCATACTGTCTCAGTCTCCCAAGTTTCTGATGTTACAGATCTATGCCACCAGGACAGGCTTCTGACAGGATATTTTTACTGTATTTTTAAACTGTCTTGTCCAGAGAATGGTTAGTTTTGGAGGCGGGGTCTTATGTAGCCCAGGCTAGCATGGATGACCCTAAAATGATCCTCTTCCCTTAACCTCCCCTGAGCTGGAATTCTAAGGTGTAAGCCATCATAACCACAGCTCAGTATTTTGCAACAAAATGACTCTTCTCCCATTACTGGCAGAATCGGTACATTAATCTTATTTTATAAGTGTAAGTTAGATCTGAGTGGTAGTACACAGCTCCTATAACCCTCGCACGGGGAGGTGAAGGCAGGACGGGCTGGAGACACTGTCAGCTAAGAGCTGTTGGGCAGCATGCCTACAAAAGAGCCGAACACCAGGCCCAGTGAGATGGCTCGGTCCGGAGCAACTGCTGCTCTTGCAGAGTTCCAAATCAGTCCCCAGTGTCCACACATCTCAACCACCCATGACTTCAGCTCTGGTCTGAGGCCCTCTCTGACATCCTCAGGCACTCGACATGCATGTGGTATACATACATGCATGCAGAACAAACACTCACAAAGACACATAAAAACAATTGTTAAAGGTAAAAAAAAAACAAAAAAATTCTCAATGTGGTAGAACCTGCCTAGTACATGGGAAGCTGAGTTCAGGTCCTAACACAGGGAAATAGTCAATTCAGGAACTCAAGCGTGTGGTACCACTAACTAGCCTAATGAAGTAACTCTAGCCAAGTGTGGCAGCACTGGCTTCAAATCCCAGTGCTTAGTTGGGGGGAAGCAAGAGGATCAAGAGTTGGAGGTTAGGGGCTAGAGATGGCTCAAGTTAAGAGCACAGGCTGCTCTTCCAGAGGTCCTGAGTTCAATTCGCAGCACCCACATGGTGCTCACAACCATCTGTAATGAGATCTGGTGCCCTCTTCTGGTCTGCAGTCATACATGCTGTATACATAATAAATAAATAAATCTTTAAAAAAAAAAAAGAGAGAGAGAGAGAGAGAGGCCGGGCGGTGGTGGCTCACGCCTTTAATCCCAGCACTTGGGAGGCAGAGGCAGGCGGATCTATGCGAGTTCGAGGCCAGCCTGGTCTACAGAGCGAGATCCAGGAAAGGCACAAAGCTACACAGAGAAATCCTGTCTTGAAAAAACCAAGAGAGAGAGTGTGTTGGAGGCTAGCTTGGACTACATGACACTGTCTACAAAAAAGGGAAAGAAAAACACTTCAGTGGAGATGCTGTTACTTTAGGCTAAAAATTTACATGCTGGTTGGGGTGGGGCATACATGCCTTTAATCCCAAATTCCAGAGGCAAAGACAGAATTTTAATATCTATATTAAAATTAATGTCTATTTAAAATTCACAGTGATTTAACATTATAAAACAGTCCACAGGTGTTCATATAAGTTGCTACAGACTGAGGATAGCGGAAGCTCTGTAGGTGCCAGTGACGGCCGCAGCACTAACAAATGAACCTTCTTTGGAGACAGGGTCTCAGTTAGTTCCCAGGGTGGCCTTTAACTCATTCTGTGGCCACGACAGGCCTGGAACTTGTGATCCTCCTGTCTCAGCCTCCCCTCCCTATCCCCAAAAATGAGACAATTATAGGCCTGCACTACCAGTCCAGCTAGCTATATTAAGAACACTGGGGGGCTGGAGAGATGGCTCAGCAGTTAAGAGCACTGGCGCTGTCCCAAGGCCTGAGCTTGAGTCCAGGTACCCATGTCACTCCCACCTCCAACTTCAGCTCTAAGGGATCCTATGCTCTTCTAGCCTCCACCGGCGCCTCCACACATGTAACACTCACTCACAGAGAACACAAATCAAAAGAAACCTTTTTAGAGGAAGAAGAGCTGGAGAGAGAGCTCTTCAGTTAAGAAAGCACACACTGCTCCTCCTAGAAGCAAGTTCAGTTCCCAGCACTCCCAGCAGGTGGCTTACAAATGCCTCTAACTACAGCTCCAGGGGGTCCACCACCTCTGCCTGAGGGCACCTGCACTTCCATCCAAACACAAAAATTAAACTTAAAAGATGGGTGTAATGGAAATCCCAGTACTCCAGAGGCAGAGGCAGAGGCAGGGGGGATCTCTGTGAGTTTGAGGCCAGCCTGGTCTACAATACAAAGGGAGTTTCAGGACACCCAGAGCTGTTACTACACACACAAACCCTGTCTCCAAAAAACAGAAATAAATAAACTATTACTTTGTAGTAGGAATCTTAAAAGTTCTTATTAATAAAATCAAACCCGAAGCGAATTATTGGGGTCCATGCTGGTAGATCAGAGAGACAGAACAAGCCACAGCTATCTCTCACCTCGCCGGATCCTCATCTGGTCTTGTCTCCTCAGACTGGAGGCCTCTGAGTCCTCATCCAGAATGGGTCTCAGCTGAATTACTGCTCGAAAGCCTGAATGCTTAACCAGCCAAATGCATCTAGTTTCTGGTCCTCACGCCTTATATATCTTTCTGGTTTCTGCCACCACTCCCTGGGATTAAAGGCTGGCTTTCTGGGATTAAAGGTGTGTGTCATCATGCTTGGCTATTTCCAATGTGGCCTTGAACTCACAGAGATCCAGAGGGATTTCTATCTCTGGAATGCTAGGATTAAAGGTGTGAGTGCCACCATTTTCTAGCCTTTGTATCTAGTGGCTGTCTGTTCTCTGACCCCAGATAAATTTATTAGAGTACACAATATTTTGGGGAACACAATACCACCACACTACTTATTTGATTTATTTATTTATTTAGGTTTTTCAAGACAGAATTTCTCTGCATACTCTGGGCTATCCTGGAACTTGTTCACAGAGATGCCCCTGCCTCTGCCTCTGGAGTGTTAGGGGTAATGGTATGTGCACCACCATATCCAGCTAACAAAGTGAAATTTATTGTTGAAAATACTCTAGTTCTTTAACAAGTTTCTTGGGGTTTTTTGTATGTTCGGTTTTTTTTTTGTTGTTGTTGTTTTTGTTTTTTGTTTTGAGTCAGGGCTTCACTGTGTAGCTCAGCCCTTGAACTAAAGATCCTCTGGCCTCAACTTCTGGAATGTTGAGATTAAAAAGAACAAACTAGCCGGGCGGTGGTGGCGCAAACCTTTAATCCCAGCACTCGGGAGGCAGAGGCAGGTGGATCTTTGTGAGTTCAAGGCCAGCCTGGGCTACCAAGTGAGTTCCAGGACAGGCACAAAGCTACACAGAGAAACCCTGTCTCGAAAAACCAAAAAGAGCAAACTATCAGCTCTAAAAGTATGAACACAAAGTTGGGTCTTTCATGATCTATTAGTATAAACCAATTTATCAAAATGAACTAGTTACTACAATGAATTAGTTATTACCTGAATGTATTCTCTATACCATTTTTGTTTGAGACCAGGTCTCACTATGTAGCTAACCTAGAACTAGCTTAACATATAATTATATTAATAGCTGTATAATTATATAAATACTATATATTATATTTTTATGTGCATACACATATATATGCACATATACATATACACACTGCTCAGCATGGGCAAAGATACAAGCAGTTCTCCCTTTATAAACTGTTTCAAAACAGCTGGCAACAGTAATGTATTTAATATAGAATACAGCCTCAAGCTTGCAGCTCTCTACCTGCCTCTGGCTCCAAGTGATGAGCCACCAAGCTGATGTGTCTTTTTTTAGACAAGGTCTTAATATGTAGGTCTGGCTGGCCTGAAAGGGAACTCAGTATGTTAAGGCCAGGTCGGCTCCAGCTAGGCGTGGTGGCACATGCCTTTAATCACAGCACTTAGGAGGCAGAGACAGGTGGATCTGAGTTCCAGGCCAGCCTAGTCTACAAAGTTCCAAGACAGTCAGGGATACAACACTGAGAAAACCCATCTTTAAAAAAAAAAAAAAAAAAAAAAGAGCCAGGCGGTGGCGGCGCACGCCTTTAATCCCAGCACTTGGGAGGCAGAGCCAGGTGCATCTCTGAGTTCGAGGCCAGGCT